AAAGCTTCACAAAGCCAACCCAAGATATAAGCCAAGAGGAGACTGGTTTTCCTTTGCTAAAGTAAGGAAACTTTGCTTCCTTTGCCCCTGTAAACAAATGTAGGTTTTCACGAGACTCACCGGCGCATGTGCAACGCCGACATCTTATGTCATCCTCCCGGAGCTGCTTCCGTGTACAGCTGTTGGCACAGGCTAGATTAAAATTATTATTACGTTTTGAATATGGATATTTTTCTTACAAGAATGCATCGATTCGCTACAGGACGCATTTGTTCGCCCCCTGGAGCCGTGTGAGGCACTTTTTATTATGGATGGACACACTTTATTTCACTTCTTTTGGACTGATGAACTGCAAAACCCGCTGACTGCCATTAAACAGTGTGGAAGATCAAAGACAATTTTTTATATAATTCCGATTGGATTAATCTGAAAGAAGGAAGTCATATACACATAGGATGGCTTGAGGGTGAGTAAATAATGGGCTAATTTTCATTTTTGGGTGACCTATCCCTTTAAGTGTATAATGTGTTCCAATTTGTGATGGAGCTCTCCATGGTGCTGAGACCTCCAGCTGCTACCACCAGAGCTGAGTGACCAGAAATCAAAGCACTTATAGCTGTCTAGCAGCCGTTTGTGGTCGTATAACAGCGCCATACGCTCAGTGTAGAGCCAGAGATTCTGCCTGTGATCGTTGTGGCGCTGAGATAAGAACGCTGTGTGCTACACTGAAGTAAAGAGGTCCAGCCTTGACAAAGTGCCTCAGGTCTGTGGAGCTGTCCATGGTCCTGATATCAGTACTGGTGGAGCAATTATACAGCACAGACAATAAGTGACTCTTATCTTAGGGTGCTTTCACACCTGGCCTGTTGTTCCGGAACCTGGCGCATTTCCCCCCTTAGCTCGGTTCATTTAGGCATATGTGAACACGGCGGACTCCTGCTCAAAATGATAAATTATAACGACAGCTACAAAAAAAACCAAAAAAAACCCAATAAGCCCGCAAAGCTGTTGTCGTTGCATCCTGACGGATGACAGCCATGACCGCTAAGTGGAATCCCGGAAAATAACCTTAACCTTAATTGGAAAAGTAACTTATTATGAATTATTGACCAATGAGAGAACAGTTTACTCGCGCGTGACAAATTTGGTCCATTTAGAAACTTTGCCGTGTGAACGTGAACCGCACCAAGAATGAAAAGCAACATTGTAATAATTTTAATCCCCGTTTCGGAACAAAGCAATCGATCTACAGGTGTGAAAACACCATTAGAAAGGCAAGAATACATGTTAATGCTGTTTAAGTGAAATTGTTCTTTGTCAGGCATTAGAGTGCAGATGAAGCCCCAATTTTGACACTAAACCTCTGTAGTCTACACACACACAAACACATATTATTCACGGCCAATTTTCTGTCCATGCCTCATGCAGGATGTGGATCATACAGTATCTGCAACTCAGCACAGCTTTTTCCCCAGTGTGTGTGGTTTCTCAGACTGTGTCAGGGCTTTTAACCAGGCCCTTTGTATCATGTGAGGTTAGTCCACACTATATTAATGTGAATAATTGATTAAAAAATCTCTTTGTGTGCTGAAAAGTGTTGTGGCATGTGTGTGGTTTGTGTGTCTGGATGTGTGTATTTGGGAGCAATTTGCAGTTAATAATTCAGCTTGCCTCCACACTACTATAGCAGTCAGTATCTAGAGGAAGGCTTAAATTAAGTTGTTAAACATAGGGTGGGACTTCCCTTATTGTTGTTGTTTAAGTGATCCTTTTGTTAATCCCAGCATTGCTATTATAGTCTCTGTGGGGCAAAATAAAAACATCTGCAACAATAATAAAATAAAGCAAAATTCATTTAAAGATTACATAGCTATGGTATACAATAAACATAAATTATGCCATAAAATAAGTTTTTAATACATGACCAAAAATATAGAAATTAATTAAAATACTTAAAACTATATATATAATATTTACTATAAATTTATACTACATGATCAAAAATATAGAAATGACAATATTTAAAACTATATATATATATATGAAAGTTATTTAATTGTGTTCATTGTGTAGTATAGTATGTTTATAGTGTGTCCACTCTTATAACTTGTAGTTGTGTATATACTTACATATAGTTTTAAATATTCTAATTCATTTCTAGATTTCATTTTCTAATTAGATATTCTAATTCATTTCTATATATGTATGTATGTGTGTGTATATTTGACTCTTATTTCATTGTGTAGTATACATTTATAGTATATAGTATATACAGTATGTATTGTCACATCTTTTAATTATATTTATATATACATATATACATACAGTGTATATATATAGTGTGTGTATCTATACATACACAATATATATTAAAAAAACATTAAAAATATGACAAAAATATTCATTTATATACTATAAATGTATACATCGTAATAAAATAAATGTATACATCATAATAAAATAATAAAATATACTATATATATATATATATATATATATACACACACACACACACACATACATACATATGTAGAAATGAATTAGAGTGGACACACTATAAACATATACTACACAATGGAATAACTTTTCTACATATAGTTTTAAATATTGTCATTTCTATATTTTTAATCACATACTATACAGTGCTGCTTGAAAGTTTGTGAACCCTTTAGAATTTTCTATATTTCTGCATAAATATGACCCAAAACATAATTAGATTTTCACACAAATCCTGAAAGTAGACAGAGAATCCAATCAAACAAAGGAGACAAAAATATATACTTTGTCATTTATTTATTGAGAAAAAT